ATAGTCCCGCATAGGCCGTAAAAGACCTGTGCGCGGGACGAGCTCTATTACAAATTAGAAATATTCTTAAAAATTTAAACTAAATTAATGAAAATACTATTTACAACTAAGCTATGAGACAGCTACAGGAACAGTTAATGCTAAATAAAAGGTAGTCGAGTGAATGGAGTTGCAGTTACTGATATATGTACGCTAAATATTGTTTGGTGTACTTGTGTATAATTATTTTAGGTCATGTATACTGAACCGATAAGTGTCTCAGACTGATCGAGCCCAATATCCGACAGCCAACTGCTTACTGAACGTTTATAAACTGGAAGAGATACCTGTAGATCTCTAATCTCTGATGGTATATTCCTATACAAAAAATTCGCAATATAAAAAGCATTAGTAAGGTTTGCAGACTTGAAAACTCGGGGTACCTGCATACCTACATTTACAGCTCCTCTGGTGGAATAGTTATGTGTGATTGGCGTCACTATCAAATCTTGATTAGAGTAGGTATATACAAGTAAAGTTTTGATAAAAAGTTGACGCACCGAAAGTAATTGAGTGTTTTTGAATAATACATTTGTAGGGAAACGCCTGTTGAATTGAAAAGCTATTTTAATAATTAGTTTTTGTATGACAAACAGAGGCTTTAAAATATTGCTACTAGCTCCTCCCCATACTATAATTCCATATTGAAGTACTGATTGGACAAATGCATAGTATAACTTTTTTATTTCATTAATGTTAAGAATTTCGCGAACGTTTCTAAGAACATAAATTAATTTCCTAAGTTTTGTCTTTAAATATTCAATGTGGGGTTCCCATCTTAACCTACTATCCAATATCACTCCCAGGTACTTGTAATGATCTACTCTCTCTAAATGCAAACAACCACAGGTAGAGACACCTGGATCTCCACAAACATGCATCACAAGTCTGAGGTTGGTGGGAGGCTCACTACTTTGTCTGAGGAAAATTGGCATATATTTTGTTTTTAAAACATTCATTGATAATACATTTTGGGAGAACCATTTTTGAATAAGGAACATATCTGTTTGTGCTACATTGAATGTTTGGTCCCAAGTATTACCTTTGAATATAACTGCAGTGTCGTCGGCAAATAAAAAGAGCTTTCCTGTGATTGGAAGTTTGTCTAAATTATTTATGTAAATCAAAAAAAGGGATGGTCCCAGCGTACTGCCCTGGACAACTCCATAGTCTATTTCACGTATATCGCTAAAATTGTTGTTAATAGAAACTAACTGGCTTCGTTTATTCAAATAACTACTAAACCATTTTAGGGCCAAACCACGAATTCCGATGCATTCCATTTTATTTAAAAGAATATTTCTATCAATGGAATCAAATGCCTTTGCAAGGTCAATGAACACAGTCAATGCTTTTTCATTTCCGTTAATACACTCCGAAATATATTTATTCATAGCGAAGAGAGCATCACTAGTATTTTTACTCTTCCTAAAACCATACTGGCATTCTGATAACAAATTATTATCTTCCAAATAACAGTGCAATTGTATTTTGACACATTTTTCTAAAATCTTAGACATAACATTCAACAGGGATATTGGGCGATAATTGTTTAACTCTTGCTTTGTGCCAGATTTATACAAAGGAACTACTTTCGCTATCTTAAAACGGTCAGGAAATTGTCCTGAGAGAATGCTTAGATTAACTAGGTGTTTGAGTGGAGGTATCAGTGTCGGAATATTATTTTGTAATAAAATCGCCGATATTCCATCTATACCAGGAGCAGATCCACCACGCAAATCCCTAATGCACCACTCAAGTTGGCTGTCGGTGACCGGCTCCAGCCGGAACTCATGTCTGACTCTGAACGCTGAATCGTCAACCAGCAGAGGTCCAGCCAGTTGCGGTATGCGTTGGGCAAGATTCCTACCTACATTTGTAAAAAAGTTATTAAACGAGTTTGCTACTTTTTTTATACCGTCCTTATCAGATTTCTCATAAAAAAGACCTAATGGAAATTTTTCACGAATTTTCTTTATACCACTTATTTCATTTACTATATTCCAAAATTCTTTTGGCCGTCCAGTTGATTCGAGAATTTTTTGCTTGTAATAGGAAATTTTTGCTGACTTGATTTCTCGGTTTAGCCAATTACGATAATTACGGTAGTTGACTTTTAAGTTTTCGTCGAAAGGGTGCGTTTTTACACGTTTACTTAATTTATCACGTTCACGTATCCCACGAATTAGATTGGTTGTGATCCAAGGCTTTAGTTTCTTATGCCTACTGGTTTTATATTTAGACTTCGTCGCTTGGCATTTAAGATGGTCAAAAGTACTAATAAATGCATCGCAGCAGAGATTAACATCCTGCAGAGCCAGAACATGGTCCCATGGCTGACGCTCAATCAGCTCTTGTAGCAATTTCTGGTCTGTGTAAGTGATTGTTTCGTTGTCATCTGTTTTTGTGTGTAGATTTTTAGAAGAACAGTATTCAAGTTTAGCAACAATAGCATAGTGGTCAGTAACATCTGTTTTAAGAATGCATGAGCTTATTGCGGAATAATCAAAGTGATTTACAAATAAATGGTCAATACAGGTCTCAGATCGTTCAGTTACTCTTGTCGGTTTGTTTATGTAATCAGTAAAACCAACACTGTAAAGTATGTTTAAGTAATAGTCTTTTTCAAAAACATTTTGACAACTATGTAAAATGTCTATATTGATGTCACCAACAAAAAAGTAAGTAGTGTGTTTATTAACATTGCTATAGTAGTTGTTTAGATCAGTTACAAATGAATGATAGTTCATAGATGGACTACGGTATATAGCTACTACATTAAAGTGCCTGTTATCAGTGTAAAAGTCTAATTGTAATCCCGTCGCCTCACCCATTGATATCTGTTGTGATGTTACTCCAAGTTCAGTTTTACAATACACAATTACACCGTCGTTTCTGTTCCAATGTATTTCAGTTGAGTACAAATCATATCCCTCCAAATCTGTCAAATTGCTTCCACATTCCAACCACGCTTCAGTAAGTACAATTAAGTCAAATTTTACTTTCAAGTTTTCAAGAAGAATTAATACATTATCTATATTTTTATTATAACTGCGAATATTGAAATGAATGACTTTTAAAAACCCATCTGAGGGTTCTAAGGTAAACAAATCCGAAAATTGTCTATATGTATCAAACTCCATACAATCATTGTTCCTGTAGCTGTCAATACCAAGTATGTCATCGTCTCCGTCCATGTTAGCTGTCTGACACGCGCCAAGCCGTTATACATTACTACACACAAGGGATTAAAATAAAGCTAGAAATAAACATTGATAGCAAAATATTAAAAAAAAAAACAAAAGAAATCTAACAGAAAGTCTACTCTACTCTATTTTATTTTAACATTCTATGGCATAGATAAAACTTACCGATCACATAAAATAGTTTTGAAATATTTCAGATACGGAATCAGATTATTTGAGGTATGCACAATCGCGGACGATTGCGATATCTAAATATTTTACTAATATAGAATGCTATGGAAAAAATGCACAACATCCAAAAATGTAGGGAACTTGTACGACTAACCTTGGGGCAGGTTGAAGGGTCGCATGGGGGACAGGTTGCTGCTACAGACACAGAGAGAGTGTGTTAATGTATGACTTGACTAACCTTGGGACAGGTTGAAGGGTCACAGGGGGGACAGGTTGCTATGCTACAGACATAGAGAGAGTGTGTTAATGTATGACTTGACTAACCTTGGGACAGGTTAAAGGGTCGCATGGGGGACAGGTTGCTGCTACAGACATAGAGAGAGTGTGTTAATGTATGACTTGACTAACCTTGGTGCAGGTTAAAGGGTCGCATGGGGGACAGGTTGCTGCTACAGACATAGAGAGAGTGTGTTAATGTATGACTTGACTAACCTTGGGGCAGGTTAAAGGGTCGCATGGGGGACAGGTTGCTGCTACAGACATAGAGAGAGTGTGTTAATGTATGACTTGACTAACCTTGGTGCAGGTTAAAGGGTCGCATGGGGGACAGGTTGCTGCTACAGTCATAGAGAGAGTGTGTTAATGTATGACTTGACTAACCTTGGTGCAGGTTAAAGGGTCGCATGGGGGACAGGTTGCTGCTACAGACACAGAGAGAGTGTGTTAATGTATGACTTGACTAACCTTGGGGCAGGTTGAAGGGTCGCATGGGGGACAGGTTGCTGCTACAGACACAGAGAGAGTGTGTTAATGTATGACTTGACTAACCTTGGGGCAGGTTGAAGGGTCGCATGGGGGACAGGTTGCTGCTACAGACATAGAGAGAGTGTGTTAATGTATGACTTGACTAACCTTGGGGCAGGTTAAAGGGTCGCATGGGGGACAGGTTGCTGCTACAGACACAGAGAGAGTGTGTTAATGTATGACTTGACTAACCTTGGGGCAGGTTGAAGGGTCGCATGGGGGACAGGTTGCTGCTACAGACACAGAGAGAGTGTGTTAATGTATGACTTGACTAACCTTGGTGCAGGTTAAAGGGTCGCATGGGGGACAGGTTGCTGCTACAGACACAGAGAGAGTGTGTTAATGTATGACTTGACTAACCTTGGTGCAGGTTAAAGGGTCGCATGGGGGACAGGTTGCTGCTACAGACATAGAGAGAGTGTGTTAATGTATGACTTGACTAACCTTGGGGCAGGTTAAAGGGTCGCATGGGGGACAGGTTGCTGCTACAGACACAGAGAGAGTGTGTTAATGTATGACTTGACTAACCTTGGTGCAGGTTAAAGGGTCGCATGGGGGACAGGTTGCTGCTACAGACATAGAGAGAGTGTGTTAATGTATGACTTGACTAACCTTGGTGCAGGTTAAAGGGTCGCATGGGGGACAGGTTGCTGCTACAGACATAGAGAGAGTGTGTTAATGTATGACTTGACTAACCTTGGTGCAGGTTAAAGGGTCGCATGGGGGACAGGTTGCTGCTACAGGCATAGAGAGACTGTGTTAATGTATGACTTGACTAACCTTGGGGCAGGTTGAAGGGTCGCATGGGGGACAGGTTGCTGCTACAGACACAGAGAGAGTGATGACCGACACGATGATCCTGATCATGGCGAGAGTGAGTGGGGCACAGTGTACACTGTACAGCTGCCGCGGCCGTCGTTACGATTACACAGACACTCTCAACTGGGATTTATGTGTTTGTAAACAAGGACGTCTACTTCCGGCTCTATTGCTTAGATTCAATTGACCTGTTTGAGGAGTGTAAGTGTACCAATGCAAATTCATATGTTTAAGAAAAGTATCTACAGAGAGAAGGATCTTCATAAGTATTAATAAAACTATTGATTGATTAAGCTAAGCTGAAATTAAATAAAACAGAATACCACAGTAATACAAACAAATAACCACACCTGATTTTAATGAGGTAATAAATTGAAAGAATAACATACAAATAAGAACAGCTGAGGTATTTTTAACAATGGGTATATAGAAAGATCGCTTTAGAAAGGATTTACGACCTTAAAAGGCAATTTATGAAATAATGGATAGTTTTGCGCAAGGGTTCTCGTCACGACGAACATTTAAAGTATATGGTTTATTGGGGTGTGATTTGTAGTTTTCTCAAAGGTTCATGGGTACCCTGTGATTTATATATGGACCAGTAGAGTACCCGTCCTTCGTACGGGATTGGCATATAAGTACAAAAATGCTCATTACAGTTATACTCAAACTTTGCCTTTGCAATGGGGGAGGACACGATTTGATAAAGTTTGCTTCTTTAAATTTACGGTACTAGGTGAAACCCGTCGAAATCGACGGTTACTTTCAAGGCTTACGTAAATTCATCTAACTGCGATGATTTGGGTGGAATATACATATTTTGAGCATTTAGCATTGTTTAAAAAGTAATAAGTGTTAAAACAATAATTATATTAATTGCGTTAGTTGCCAAATTTGGTTGATCATTCAGTGATTAAAATATTTCCTATACTGTACGTCATCTGAGTTATTATTAGTATGTTATATGGCATCCTTTCCTTTGGAAGAACCTTTAAATATTGTAGTATTAAAATCGTGTTGGTGGATCTTTTGTAGTTAAACACTTTATTTGAAAATAAATTATTTTGGGAAGACATACTCTAACTTCAAAGGGAGGTATGTCCGTTACAGCGTAAGTTTGATTTTTCCTTCGTCACGTCGCGTCAGTTCATATCGTACTTCTGTGACAATAAATGAACCCTCTAGTATAGTTTTGAGAAATTGATTGTGGGGTTACTGTTAAAGCTGGAATTCCTTGACAGTCAGTTAGTTGTTTTAGCCTTATCAATAACATACAGTTGTCAATATAATATATCTACGGAATGTAGTTCATATGGTATTAGCGGCTTCATTGGCAACAAATAATGCAAATGACATAGCAATGGGACATTTCCAAAAAGCAAAAATGCTGTAAACTGCTGTAAAATGGCTGTTACGTATATATTGACGTTAACATATTGTTAATCAGCGAATCTTATAAAGGATTATGTGACCTAGTTTAAAAGGAATATGACCTTTCTATCATGACAGTATCTGCTTAAATAGTGTTTTGTCTTTGTACCATATTTTACAGCCAAAATGTCGTGTTATTTTCAATAATGTTACCAACCCAGTGCGCCAAAGTCCGTATTATAGGCAGATGCAAATAATTTGTCAAGATGGGTACCATTTTAGGCAAGGTTTCTATGTTTGGATTTTATTAGACACGATAAGAGCAGATATTTCTACATAAATATTCGATGTAGAATAATATGATAAGATGTTGGCAAAAGTTGCGAAAAAGGCAGACACCAACCCGTACAATAGATATAAGATAGTTCAATATGAAACACAAATACAGTAATTTAAGAATTGCTGTGATAAAAGGATTTTCCACTGATTTCGTAATGGAACGTTATATTGCAAAACATGACACGATAAAGAAGAAAATCAATTTTAAAATCAGAAAATAACATTGCAAATTAGAATTCAGTAACTCCCAATACATATGTGTTGTTTGAAATACAATTTAAAAATGAACAGCTGTTTCATTAAAAAGTATCATTCACATGGCCAAAATGTAAACAACTCTGTGGAGGGATCTTTAAAGGCTTCTGGGGCAGAGTCCTAAGGGATTTTGCTTAGGTTGTCTTTTGATAACTCATCTACAGACCAAGACCTTTCTTTGGACACCCCTACCAAGTTTCTACGCCCAGCCGTTCTCTCAAATTAGTGGGGACAAAGTTTCCAATTAAATATTTCGATTGCCCCATGTTAATCTTATGGGAGAAAACCCAACTTTGATGGCCTGTGGGGCAAAACCCGGGGATTTTTATTACAGGAATTGGTGAAAGGGGGCGTCTACACAAATAATACTTTACTTTGACTCGTCGTTTGTAAAAATCTGTCCATTATTAACGGAGGAGTAGTGTTTCGTAGAAATCGCCTTCACGTATTATATATAAGGATACTATTGTATTACACATATATCATAGCCATAACACTCTACCACTTCACCCAAACAATGGAGAAAATAAATTTTTAAAGATTCGTGAAATGTAACAAATGATTAATACAAAAAAAACATAAAGGTAACTGTAAACAATCCTACTTTAGTTCTCATTGCATATAATAGATTTTTGTTGTTGCTTAGTTGTTTCCATAAATGCAAAAAAGGAATAGTGCTGTAGTAGTGTAGTGTGCTGTAGTGTGTAGTAGTAATAGTAATAGTGTTGGCAAATCTTATAACTTCTAATGCTTTTACATACCATAGAACCAACTTTTTAAGTTGAAACAGCTGACTAAATTCTATTATTCCATTTGAATATAAATACTCATAAGGTTAAGATGAGGAACCACAGAGCCACTGGGGCGGATCCCGAAAGGATTTTGGAGATAAGAATATGCATATATGTTAATCGGGAATGTGAGCTATAATCATGCCAAATTTCAGCTCAATCCGACCAGTATTTTTCGCGTTTACTTGTAACAAACATACATACATACATACATCCAAACTTTCTCATCCTTATATATAATACGTGAAGGCGATTTTTACGAAACACTACTCCTCCGTTAATAATGGACGGATTTTTACAAACGACGTGTCAAAATAAAGTATTTGTTTTAAGACGCCCCCTTTCACCAATTCCTGTAATAAAAATCCTCGGGCCTTGCCCCACAGGCCATCAAAGTTGGTGTTTCTCCCATAAGATTAACATGGGGGAATCTAAATATTTAATTGGAAACTTTGTCCCCACTAATTTGAGAGAACGGCTGGGCGTAGAAACTTGGTAGAGGTGTCCAAAGAAATGTCTTGGTCTGTAGATGAGTTATCAAAAGAAAAACTAAGCAAAATCCCTTAGGACTCTGCCCCAGAAGCATTTAAGGATCCCTCCACAGAGTTGTTTACATTTTGGCCATGTGAATAATACTTTTTAATGAAACAGCTGTTCATTTTTAAATTGTATTTCAAACAACACACATTTATATTGGGGGTTACTGAATTCTACCAAATAAGTATTTGCAATGTTATTTTCTTATTTAAAATTGATTTTATTCTTTATCATGTCATGTTTTGCAATATAACGTTCCATTACGAAATCAGAGGAAAATCCTTTTATCACAGCAATACTTAAATCATTTGTTACTGAGCTATCTTATGTATATTGTACGGGTTGGTGTCTAGCTTTTTTACCACTTTAGCCTACATTTTATCATATTATTCTACACATTTCAAATATTTATTAAGAAATATATGCTCTTACTAGCTGTAACCCGCGGGCTTTGCCCCGTTTTACTTCTTAATTTTCAAGATTATCTCGTTCGCATGGCTCAATCACGTCCGGGTTGAAGTTTGTTCGCTACGCTCACTCACCTTTTGGTTGCAAATTAGCTGTTATCATAAATGTAAAATAAATAATAGTGCTGCACCCTGTTGGTAATCCTTGTAACAGAACAGAACCAACTTGTTTAATTGAAACAGCTGTTAAGATTCAATAATTCCATTTCTCATAAGGTTACATGGGAAACTCCAGAGCCACTGGGGCGGAGCCCGAATGGATTTTTGAAATAAGAATATGCCTATATGTTAATCGGGAATGTGAGCTATCATCATGCCAAATTTCAGCCTAATCCGACCAGGATTTTTCGCGTTCACTTGTCACAAACATACATCCATACATCCAAACTTTCTCATTTATAATATTAGTAGGATCGTGTCTAATAAAATCCAAACATAGAAACCTTGACTAAAATGGTACCCATCTTGACAAATTATTTGCATCTGCCTATATTACGGACTTTGGCGCACTGGGTTGGTAACATTATTGAAAATAACACGACATTTTGGCTGTAAAATATGGTGCAAAGAGAAAATACTATTTAAGCAGCTACTGTCATAACAGAAAGGTCATATTCCTTTTAAACTAGATCACATAGGTAATCCTTTATAAGATAGGAGTAGATATAATATACGGGTTTAAAGTCACTTGGGGCACGTTTTCCCATAAGAAATAACATGGGATCATTTTTTGGCCACTAAAACCAAAAATCCTGATCTTTTGCCTAAATATCCCTATAAAATTGTCAAACCTTATTTCTTACTTATTCCCCATAAATATATTCGATATTAAGCTAAAAAAGCTATTTCTTATATTTATTGACCCTTACAAGTGTAAATGTAGAGTAGAGGCAATATGATGGTTTAACGCCACTTTAGGCACGTTTTCCCCATAAGAATAACATGGTGAGCTTTTTTTGACCACTTTTTTAAAAATCCAGCTCTCGGCCTATACAAGCCTATATAAATGTTCAATACCATTGTATAACACTATTACTATTTCAAATCCTTATCTATTCACATGTATATTCTCAAAATCATCAACTTGACAGTGCGAGGTTTGTACGCGGACTCGGGCGCGCTCCCGGCTCATGGCGCGCTCCCTTGGACATCCTTAGTGGAAATCCATGAATTCTGGCTACTTGGGAACCCAAGCCATTTGACATATAATAAATCACCATTTCTCCTAATAACCTTTTCTATCAAATACATGTCTTTATATTTGGTCTTTAACAATTCCTCTGTATAGAAGCCTCCCCTGATTATATTACCATTTTCAT